TCTAGATGCGTTAGTTCGAACTAGCTTAGTTCGAATTAACTAATTCGAACTAAGTTAGTTCGAACTAGCGCTGTAGTGTAGACGTACCCGTTAATATTTCAGACTGCTTTTTATGAGGCGTTGCAAACTGGTAATTACTTGAAACGCCAGGAGCTGCATGTGTCTCTGCAGCATTGTGAGGTCAATTTCTGGACAAAAAGTCCCAAAATTCTGTGACAGCAACCTCCAAGTTTCCATATGATAGAAAATAAGACACAGAATATCTTTCTGCCCCTGTATGAAACTACGGTACGCCCACATTGTGAGTACTGTGTACAGATGTGGTCTTCTCACCTCAAAAAAGATATTTTGGCCTTGGAAAGGGTTCAGAAAAGGGCAACTAAAATGATTAGGGGTTTGGAACAGGTCCCATATGAGGAAAGGCTAAAGCAACTGGGACTTTTCAGTTTGGAAAAAAAGGAGACTGAGGGGGGATATTATAGAGGTCTATTAAATCATGAGTGGTGTGGAGAGGGTGAATAAAGAAAAGTTACTCATTAGTTCCCATAATATAAGGACTAGAGGACACCAAATGAAATTAATGGGTAGCAGGTTTAAAACTAATAAGCATAAGTTCTTCTTCACACAGTGCATAGCCAACCTGTGGAACTCCTTGCCAGAGGAGGCTGTGAAGGCTAGAACTATAACAGAGTTTAAAGAGAAGCTAGATAAATTCATGGAGGTTGGGTCCATGGAGTGCTATTAGCCAGGAGGTAGGAATGGTGTTCCTGGCCTCTGTTTGTGGAAGTCTGGTGATGGATGGCACAAGACAAATCACTTGGTCATTGTACTGTCGGCAGACAGGCTACTGGGCTAGATGGACCTTTGTTCTGACCCAGTACGGCCGTTCTTATGTTCATATGCTGTTGCTTCAGTCAGCTGCCATGGAGACATCCTTCATGCCTTGCCCCACCCTCAAACACATGCACACACACACACACACACACTCACAGCTTGTGGCTCTTCCATTCACATGAGGTCAAGTTGTTTGATGGGTAGTTCCTCTGCCCCATGTTCCTCCCAAGGTGGCTTTGCTCCAACCCCTTGGTCTCCCATCCTGTGATGCTTCTCAGATGACCCGGATCAGTCCCTCTTTGCCCTCTGGCCAGGTCTACACACTAATAGGTAAGGTCGAGCTAAGATACGCAACTCCAGCTATATTAATTATGTAGCTGGTGCCAACATATCTCACATTGTGTTTTTGCACCACACAGCAGGAGTTTGATGGGAGGAAATGCTCCCATTACTCCTCGTGAGGAGCAGGAGTACTGGCGGTGACGGGGACGCCCTCTCAGTTTGAATGAGCAGGTCTTCACTAGACCCGCTCAATCGAACCCTGGAAGATCGATTGCAACAACGTCGATCTTCCACGTAGTGTAAACAAGGCCTCTGTGTGCCAGAGAAGATGGACGGTTGTACCTGGTTTAACTGGCTCCTTTTGACTCCCAAGGCCTGGTCTCTTACAGTATACTCCAAGATGCCACCAGACTCCTGTCACTCCCTGTCCTCCCCTAGCTAATGTAGGACCTGGACCCAGGCTGTCTGGGGCAGCAGACTGTATGGTCCAATTAACTCCCCCTTGTGGGGGAAGCTGGCAAGTAAGAGGCAGATGCAGGGAATTCCCAGCTGGGCAAAGTGGCAAGAAATGAAATTGGAGGTATTGAGCTGCTCTATGGTATCCTGGGCGCGGGGAGGGGGAGGGCGGGGCGGGTGGATTCCCACAAGCATGAAGTCCCCGGGGGGCTGGTTAAGATGAGCTGGGTTGCTAGTGTGTCTCGGAGCTGTTGTTTCAGGCAGCCTGCAGACTCAGGCAGATGGGTCTGCCTTGGGCATGCATTGCTGGTCAACTTCACAAAGGCTAGACACCTGAAGCTGCCATTCTTCTGGGAAAAGGGTGAATTTCATGGCAAATTCAGTGGCCATAGAACCTCACTAGTACAGAAGGACTAGTGCCAGCTGGAGGTTTCTTTAACATATCCAGAAGGTAGAAATGTATCAGCTGAGAAAGACAAAATCATGTTTGGGCTATACCATTGATCCAATAGCGTGCTCTAATATTTTTCATTGAAACTTCATGCAAGATAAAAAGGATGCCCCTTTGTGGGCTGGGAAAAGTGCCTGGAGGAAGTTGGATCCGAGTGTATTTCTTGTTGAGTTCTGTCCTCTTACTGTTACTCACAATGGCTAAGTAATGGTGTTTGCCCACCATTACTCTCCAGGCCACTGAGCAGAGCTTAAGTGTATGGCATTCCCACGGGGGAAAAGGATCTTCACTACAGCTGGGCAAAATTCTTTGGTGCAGCTTTTTTCCAGGGAAAAGTGCTGATTCAGCTCCACCAAAAATGCTTGCAGATTTGTGTTGGGTTCACCAGATTTTGTGGGCTTGAAAAACATCAAGTGAATTCTTCATTTTCCCACTGGCAAACCTTGATGTTCAGTGTCTCACACATGAGTGGAAGAGGTGAACACACAACTCTACATCAGTGTTGGTGAGAAGAAGGGCTTGTTTGCATTGGAAATCTAGTCCAGAGCCCACGAAAGCTCACGATACCATCGACGTTTTTTGTTAGCCTCTAGGGGTGCATCTGCACTGCACCATTATTTCGAAATAACAGCACAAGCGTGTACACAGCCATTCTGTTGTTTTGAAAAAATGTTGAAATAACAGACAGCTTATTCCGAAATCTGTAAACTCGTTCTACAAGGAGTAACGCCTCTTCCGAAATAGCTATTTCGAAATAAGGCATATGTAGACGCTCCACTGCTGCTATTTCAAAATAGCCCCTCACCAGGGCCATTCTAAGTCATTCCTCCCCAGTGCCTCATGGGCCTCTAAATCGACATAGCCTGTATTGGACTAATTTTCAGGCTTCACTGCAGTGTGGATGTCCTATTTTGAAATAAGATATTTCGGAATAACTATTCCAGAATAGCTTATTTCAAAATCAGCATACAGTGTAGATGTACCCTAAGGTACTGCAAGACTATTCATTGTTTTTTAAGTTTTTTTCTTCTATTACAGACTAATGGAACTACTGCTCTCAAACTTTTATTTCTGAGCAAGATAATATATTAATTTAAGGCACAAGAGCTTTTCTGGAACAGCTCCTGAGATGGATGCTCTTAATCCACTGGATGAATCTAACCCAGAAAAAGCCATTCATATTTGGGAGGAAAAGTGGCCATATGAAGAGTTATATGAGATCACTGTAAAGTCAATTTCCCGTGCTACCCAGTGCTAAAGCAACAGAATTGTATCATTGGTGAGACAAGGGCTAATTAATACATAGCAATGATGAAGGGGAAAAAAGTTGCATGATCAAAATAGTCATGTGAATACCTGATTTCTTGGCTGGCTGGCTATTTTGAAACAGAAATGAAAAATGGTTGGCTCAAATGTCAAAAATTTTGGCCGACTGCCGAGTCAAATGAAACATTTTGTTTGATCAGAAGTAATTTTTTCTAGTTATCTTTGTACATAAAATAGAAGTACATTTTGAAACAAAAAAGTCTTTTAAATGGAAAACTAAAAATAGTCAGACCTTTTTACTTCCGAACAATTCAGCTCATTGGAAACAAATTGACCAATTATTTCAGCTAAACCAAATCTGCAGAAAAACAGTATTTTGGCCCAATTCCCATTCCTGCAAAGAGGTTTAACAGGTAGTTTGAAATAGGGCTGTATTTCAAGCGCCCGTTTCATTGCCGCATGTAGACACGGGCAGTTATTCCGGGCTTGCAAATTTCAAAAAATGGCACCCACCCGGGAAGATGCAAATCAAGAGTGGGATATTTAAATCCCAGGCTTGATTTGCAATTCCGAATGCCGACATTAGCAGCCCTATTCCGAAATAGGCTTACAGACTGAGCATTAATTTCTGAAATAGGCTTACAGACTGAGCATTAATTGTAGCAACAATTATGTTTTGAGGACAGGTTATTTTATTTTTTATTTTTAATCTAAAATAACCTATTAAGGCACCATTTTCAAATAGATTCATGATCAAGAAACAAGGAAGGGTGTCTATACTCCAACAGCCACCTCGTGACAGGATGTTTGATGTTGTGAAGACCAGGACTTTACCCCGGTTCCAAAAGAACTAGGTAAATTCATGGAGGTTAGGTCCATCAATGGCTATTAGCCAGGATGGGTAGGAACGGTGACTCTAACATCTGTTTGTCAGAGGCTGGAAATGGATGACAGGGGAGGGATCACTTGATGATGCCTTGTTCCGTTCACTCCCTCTGGAGCACCTGGGATTGGCGACTGTTGGCAGACAGGACACTGGGCCAGATGGACCTTTGGTCTGACACAGTTTGGCCATTCAGATGTTCTTATGACACTAGATAACATTGTTCCTCTCAAGCAATTACCATTTGCTACATCTGCTTTTTGCATTTTCTTTCATTCCTGTACAACATTTGGACCACACAACCTATAGTCCCACCCTTCTTCCCACTGTTCTTCCCCATTGGCTAGAATTGTCCTGGTGAATGAATTAGCTGGGGACGCGTTTCCAGTCTAGCACCCTGCTCAGCGCATCTTTAACCAACTTGTTCCTCAGGCTGTAGATCAGGGGGTTCAGCATGGGGACCACCAGAGTATAAAACACGGAAGAGACTTTCTCCTGCGCCAGGGAGTAGCTGGCACCGGGCTGTATGTGGCTTAAGCTCACGGGCCCATAGAACATGGTGACGACGGTCAGGTGGGAGGCGCAGGTGGAGAGGGCTTTGCGCCTGCCCTCGGCGGAGCGGATCCTCAGGATAGAGAGGAGGATGCACAGATAAGAGATGACGACAGTCAGGAGGGTGGATAAGGCAATCACCCCAGAGAACGTTACCAGCAGCATCTCCTGCACGTGCTTCTCAGAGCAGGCCAGCTTCAGCAAGGGGTTCGTGTCGCAAAAGTAATGGTCGATGGTGTTGGGCCCGCAGAACCACAGCTGCAGCAAGCCGCCGGTGTGCGTCAGTGAATTCACGAGCCCCCCTGCGTAGGAGCTGGTCACTAGAAGAACACAGACTTTCTTAGACATGACAGTAGCGTAATGCAGGGGGTGACAGATGGCTACGTAGCGGTCGTACGCCATGGCGGCCAGCAGGAACCCTTCGGTGGTGACCAACACGACAAAAGAGAAGTGTTGGGCGAGGCAGGCCGAGTAAGAAATGCTTTTACTCCCCGCTAGGAGGCTCCCCAGCATCCTGGGCGTGAAGACCGAGGAGTAGCAGAGATCAACGATGGAGAGGTTACTCAGGAAGAAGTACATGGGGGTATGGAGTTGGGGGTCCACCTTGATCAGCACAATCATCCCAAGATTCCCCACCAGCGTCAGAACATAGGACACCAGGAGCAACGCGAAAAGGGGCATCTGCAGCTCCTGCCGATCCGTCAGTCCCAGGAGGATGAACTGGGTCACCACGCTGTGGTTGCCCTCGGTCATTCCTATAGCAGTACAGAAGACCAGACCTGCCACGACAGCGAGAGCGAGCCGTGTGAAAGAAGGAAATTTCTTAGCATGAATCAAATCTCAATGACAGCACCGGGCTTGGGAGTAGATAGTGAATATCTTACAGGAAGCCAGCCACCCTGAAGTCTGGGAAGAGTTGGGAGAGGTCTTTCATTTTACACTTATTTCGCCTTCAGATTTTCAAGGCTGTTGAGGAGAGTTTGACATCCAAGTCTACGTAAAATTGACTGGAATTAGCATGAAGTTTCTGAAGGGGAGTTTCCCAATTCATTATCCCAAAATTTCCTCAATGAAATATACCAGCATCTGTTTGAGTTCATGAGCTTAGTATAGGTTGAATCTCTCTTGTCTGGCAACCTCTGGTTCGGCAACATCCGTGATTTTAATTAGTCGGATATCCACTATCATGGACGGGGCCAAGTTTCCCGCAGTCCCATAAAGTTTGTTTACAGCCACCAGTCCTGGCTCTCAGTGTTCTGTGCTGTTAATTAGCTCTAATTTGCCCCTTAATGTCTTCTAAGAACCCAGTGAGCAGAGGAAGTATTGATAATGTGCTAGACAATACTGACTATTGGCAGTTCTTTCTGTTCTGGTTCTGGTTCTTTCTGGTCCGGCACCGGACAAGTCCCAAGGGTGCCAGACTAGGAGAGGTTCAACCTGTACTTCCTACTGTTAGCTCACTAAAGGTAAGTTAGAAAGAACTCTTACTTCAGATCCTATCGTCTGAGTTCAGACTTCTCTCAAATAATCCTTTTAGATGACTACAAAGTCTCAGAGAGGTAGCCATGTTAGTCTGTAACTTTAAAAACGAGTAGTCCTGTGGCACCTTTGAGACTCACAAAAATACATAGGATCATGAGCTTTCATGGGCAAAACTCACTTCATCAGATGGGGTGAGTTTTACCCGTGAAAGCTCATGAGCCTGTATATTTTTGTTAGTCTCGAAGGTGCCACAGGGCTACTCAATGTTTTACAAATTCTCAGTCGTCCCCCAATTGTTGCTGCTTTGTAACACAACCCCTGGCAGCTTTGCTAATCCCAAGCATTTAAAAATCACTAATCAGCTTTCCAAAAATCATGTGATTGGCTTAAAATCGGACGGTCTTTTTAAAACGATACGGAGTTTAGAGAGGGGCAGGGGATAGGTAATTCTCTTTGGTGCAGGATTTTGATCATTTAAAATTTGTTTGTGTTAGGAACAAACCCCCAGTATTTGAAAAGTCTCTGGAAAAGGGAACAGATCTCTATAGCCATGGGCCTTGAGCATTCTGCATATAGGGCAGCTCCAGGGATGTGGACCCAGAAAGCAGGAAACCGAGCAGGAATCTGATCTCACCAGTTTTCTCGCTTTGGTAGCACTGCAGTGAAATTGGCCAGTCTGGAGGAAATGTTCCAATTACACTCCGTCAGAAAATAGGAATGAAACTGTGTTTCACTGGAATTTTTCTGATCAGTTTGAATTCTGTTCTTTTGACTTGCCTGCTGGATTTTAAGGCTCTGAGGTGGGTCATATTATCAAGCTTTTCCCAGCAACCCCGGGGTCTAGAAACATACATAACATTTCTGAAAGTCTTCAGTGATCACGTGACAGAAGGAGCTGCATGGAGCTTTAAGAGAAGCACCAAATTTTGGGAGAGTTGGCAACAGTGCTCACAAGCTAATCTAAGCTCTACGAGCTTTCTGGCCACTTGTCATCAATCCAGATTTACTTCATCTACCAATGGTGTTCAGTTTAGAAAAGAGAAGACTGAGAGGGGACATGATAGTGGTTTTCAAGCATCTACAGAGTGTCACAAGGAGGAGGGAGAAAACTTGTTCATCTTGGCCTCTGAGGATAGACCAAGAAGCAAGGGGCTTAAGCTGCAGCAGGGGAGGTTTAGGTGGGACATAAGGAAAAACTTCCTGCCTGTCAGAGTGGTGAAACACTGGAATAAATTGCCCAGGGAGGTTGTGGAATCTCCATCACTGACGATATCTAAGAGCAGGTTGGACAGACACCTGTCAAGGACGGTCTAGATGGTGCTTGGTCCAGCCATGAGGGCAGGGGACTGAATTTGGTGTCCTTTCAAGGTCTCTTCTAGTTCTAGTGTTCTATAAGTCTATGATTCTAGACTGAGATCAACTTTTAATTCCTGTTTCTTCTGCGGACTCCCTGAATGATTTTGGTCCAACCAGAATTTCCTCTTTGCCTCAGTTCCCTCTTTATAAAACCTGGATAACCATCTTTGCTTTCACCCATCCTCTTCCATCTTGTTTATGAGACTATCTGCTCCTGGGGGCAGGAACTGTCTCTTATTGTGTTTCCAGAGAAGCTAGCATGGTGGGACACTGATCTCTGACTTGTAGCACAACAGTACATGCCATACATTTTACAATCCTGACCTCTCTCTATAATTGACTGTCACCCAAGTCTAGAATCTGAAATCCTCAAAGGTTGCCCAGATCAGATCTCGATCCAGTTCCAGATCGGGAGCGTGTAACCAGATTCATCTCTATGTATAATAGTGGATTCTTACCTAATATTCATCTAGACGTCTGTAGGTCTTCCATATGCCACGTCCATTTTCACTGTTGTGTACCCTGAGACAGAAATATAAACTAACAAGCGAGTTAGTAAAATGTTGACAGTGCTAGCATCACACTTCCAAGGAGACGGGGGAAATGGCAAGTTATGTCCAGGAATCAGAACAGCAGGAAAGTTGTTATCCCCCTCCGCTGAAGGACGGACGCCGTGTATCATCGCTGCGGGTGGCAGAGAGCGTTCAATCTTTGCATCCCTAAGGGATCACGGTAGGGCATCGGAAACCATGTTTATATACATGTCTGTGGCATTTGGGGATTGAGTCTCTGAAGTGAGTCAAACTGCAGTTTCAAACCCAGCACAAGGGGCTCATTACAAAGCCCTCTCTGGTGCCCTGCCCTGCCTCCAAAAG